TATATATATATATATATATATATCTAAGCCCCAAACTCATTTATGTTCTGCTATGGAAATTCCTATGATCAGCAGCTTCTTAATGTGGGGAAAAATTTTAATGAAATAAATAACGTGTTTCCAAGGTAACCCTAAAGAATTTACCTGTACCGGGATGTAGCAGAAGCAAACAAACAATTGTTCAGAAATGCATTCAAGGAATCATTTTTTCCTAAAATGTCATAAAAATGAAGCAAAATAAGCCAAATTAGACAAAGGTTTTAGCTTTCCGGTTGTCACCAAAACACTTCTGAAGCCAAATAAACATTCTGTTTGGCTCAACACATTCTTCCCTCACTTAAGAAGAACCAAAACCAAAACAGAAAACCTTTTCCTGGTACTGGCTGATTAATAGAAAACAATTCAGTTTCCCATAATTCAAACCAATCAAAGGCATAAACATTGGCATTATATAAAAAGCAATCAATCAAAGTTAATAGAAATACCTCAAACTGCAAAACCCAGCTTTTCTGCTCCTTCTCCCTCAACCCCCTTCTTCCACCGTTTCTTTTTCTTACGGCAGCTGCCTTTTCTTTCACGCTTTTTCTCTCTGTGCACGTTTGGAATGTAGGTTAGGATAGGATTGGACAAGATAAAAACATTATGATAAGACAGGATTGGAATGGAAAAGATAATAAGAGCCCCATCCTATGTTTGGCACTCCTTTGGATTGTATAAAAAATTTATTCCATACTTAGTTTGGAACTTGGTAGGATTAGACAAAGTAGCTTCTACAAATTTTTCATATGGACAAAAATGCCCTTAAGTTCAATATATTTGAAAACTTTCATTCACTTACCCAAATTTGTGGGATAAAATGTTTTTAAAAAATAAAAATGTTAATTCATAAAAATAATTAACTTCTTTAACTGTCAAAGGTATTATATTTATATAATATATAAATTCATAAGTCAAATAAATTGTACATTAAAAAATCATAAATTACAAAGGCAAAAAAATAAATAAGTCAAATTTATCAAAATAATTCATAAAAAAAATTTAAATAAAAAACTACAATCTTTGTAGCTTGAAGAACAAAATGGAAAGAATATAATGTAGAATGAGAATAATGAAATTCACATTCTAAGGTCTTCAAAACAATAAACATAAAAATTTCATAAAAATAGTGCAAGCTAATTGCCAAATCCACCATTAATAGTTATTCATATATAGTACCAATCCTTTAAAATAGTCACCATCATCCATATACCATATGATTTTTTCTAATAAATCCTTTACAAAAGCATATGCTTCCTCTTCGTCAAACTCCCAAAATATTTGTTGCTCCAGGAATATGCTCATTGCAACTAAGATACATCTTGCTTAACTCAATTATAGTGACAGAATTTTAGGCAAAGAACTGGTAAAACACTAAGAACAGAAACATATTAGTAAAAACCTTGGTAAGCAACTCAAAGCAAAGGAATTTGAAATGGACAGAAAACAGATTAGGAAAAACAGAAGTGACTTCTATCTATGCTTGGCAAGGATAAAAATGGACAGAAAGAGAAAGATGAAAATTTAAGTTCCTCTTGCAATTTGAAAAAAATTATTAAAAAATGACTAAACCAAGTTTAAAACACATAAACATTTCTTCTGTTTCACCTTTATTGTAAATGAGTTTGTACTTGTCAATATCCTTTTCTACTTAATATTGTGTTTCTTTGTGTACATGTATTGTACTCTATACATGAGTATGTCCACTGAGTGAGTACATGAGACAAGCAGAGATATATACATGAGTCATAGGAATGGAATATTTGGAGTTTAATTTAGTTTCCAATTGAAATATCAGTTTTGAAAGGAAAAGTAAACAATATTACATTACAGTTTATTTTGGATTTAGTTTGATTTAACCAGGATTCCCTTAATCCACTTGTTTCTATGTTTCAATCTTAACGTGCTCGGAACGAAGTACCAAGGAAATATATTGAACATTTCTCCAACACCACAGATTCAATCTTCTAGATGGCCTAATATCACAAGATAAGAGGAATGCTGAAGCAGATTTTGAGGATCATTATCCTAATTTTGAGAAGAACTGAACTACCAGCATGTTAAATGGCAGTATCTCACTGTGTAAGCACAAAAATTCAAACAATGATCTTATACAAAGGAAAATTTTTTACTTATATGGGCTCTAACTAACATGGTAAACTGATAGTTGCATATCATGTAAAATTTGGTCCACCAGAACAAAAATTCCCTAACGATAAAATTAAACTATCCTAATCTATACCTAACAGTCGACATCAGTTGCTTGGTTTAACGTAATACTGGGAGTATTGGTGCTTTAAATTGAAATAATCACTAAAAAGGCAATCAATCAAGGATGATAAACGCTTGTTGATGCAGTACAGTAAAATATAAAAGCAACAAAACTGGGTTGGCACGACCGTTCGAACTTGGAGATGGATGTCTCAAATTTACCAAAAAGACAGACCAAAAATGCTAAAATTCAAATCCAGCAAAAACCCATCATTTTCCAGCCAACAAGAAGTTACCAGAATGAAAAGACAACTCCAACTTACATTAGAACGAAGATATTCCCTAACACTGCTTTGATTAACACAACAAAGTAAGAAGGATAGAAAATCAAGCCAAAATCCCATAGGATAATCAAAACCAGAGCAAAATACACATACCAAAATCAAGAACAAAACAAAATCTAATCCATAGAAAACATAGATAAGGATTAGGGGCTTACCGGTGAGTAGCTCGGTGCCAGAGAAGATGAAATACACAAGAATCACGCAAATGAGAAAAAGGGAATGATCTAAGTTTGGTACTTAATGAAGAAACCAGAAACAATAAAGAAGAACGTAGATCACGATAAAAGGCTGAGTAAGGAGCAGGAGAGGAATTTTACTTTGAGGCTTGCAAAAAGAGAAATCCCATCCCGAGTTGTCCATGGGGGAGAAGTGATAACTTTTATCTCATTGGATTGGATTGGATTAGGATTGGATAAAATGTAGGACATTTCTTTTCTAATCTACTAATACCCCAAACATAGGATATTTGTCAGTCAGTACGAATTTTTATCCCATCCCATGAATTCATCTGGGCGTCCAAACATGCGGTCTGGGTTCTTTCCTTTGCTGAAGCACCCAAACTCTACTCTATCTCTATCTCCGTTTTTTCTGCTCTATACCTATCCCGCCCCTCATTTCAATTGCCAGCAAAGTTTTCTTTTACATGAGTAAGAGAAACAGCCTAGGGCTTTCTTTTTGGGGCTTGGGTTTTTACCTATGGATATAAAATAATAATAATAATAA